CAACTCCCGGAAATCCTAACAGCTGGTAAACTGGCTGGGATTTCTGCGAGTTGTAGGCAAAAAACATCTGGGGACCTCAGGTTGAGAATAACTGGTTTAGATGGAAGTCAACAGGACATTTATTATTATTATTATTATTAATAATATTATTATTATTATTATTATTATTCTGACGCAAAAGCACAGTATGTCACAGCAAACGAGATCTATATGCTGGATTTCGTATCACAAAATCACAAGTCAAACACTTCCCAAGTGTCTAGGGCTGTGTGATGTATTTTTGAATGATGCGTGCAGATCCAAGTAAGGTGGCCTTTTGCAGTTGACAGATCGTGATTTTGTCAATGTTTATTGTTTCCAAATGCCGTCTGAGATCTTTTGGCACAGCACCCATTGTGCCAATGACCACTGGGACCACCTGTGCTGGTTTATGCCAGAGCCTTTGCAGTTCGATTTTGAGGTCTTGATAGCGGCTGAGTTTTTCCTGTTGTTTTTCCTCAATGCGACTGTCACCCGGTATGGCAACATCAATAATCCTGACTTTTTTCTTTTCCACAATCGTGATGTCTGGTGTATTATGTTCCAAAACTTTGTCAGTCTGGATTTGAAAGTCCCACTGTATTTTTGCATGTTAATTTTCCATGATCTTTGCGGGTTTATGATCCCACTAATTCTTTACTGCTGGCAGGTGGTACTTGTGACAGAAATTCCAGTGAATCATCTGGACCACAGAGTTGTGTCTTTGTTTGTAGTCCATCTGTGCGGTTTTCTTGCAACAGCTGAGGAGATGATGCATGGTTTCTTCATCATCATCATCTTCATAATCATCATCATCATCATTATTTCTTTTCTCTCTTTTTATTCTCTCTCTTCTATCATTTCCTACTTTCTCTTTGTATTATTGTTCTACCACTTTACAAAGTACTACTTTTTCCCCCTTACCTCCCTTACCCTAAATAAAAAATATATAACAAAAAAGTCAAATTACATTATGGTTTTACCAATTAAGCACCAAAACATCATGTTTTATGACAAATAGACAGAAAATGTTGTTCAATACATGGTAACGTTATGTAGTAATTACTGTATTTACGAATTTAGCACCAAAACATTGCAATGTATTGAAACAGCTGTGGATCCGGGCAGGAAGTAGACTGCATTGGATAATATAGAATGTTGGAGGAGCGAAGGTTGGATAAGCGAGACTCTACTGTACTATCAGAGACTTTTTATACCAGCTTTCCAGGCTCAGTTTTAAAAAATGGGAAAAAGTAACAAAATATAGGACATTCCCATCCATTGGATGTGATGTTTATTTTTTTGAAATATATGTTATTTTATATCTGTCACCATAACCTCAAATGGTGGTCTATAACGAAGCTTTGTTTTCTCTCTCTCATATACATACTTGTTCCCCAAGCAGTGAGCACGTGGATGTTGTTGCTTAATGGAGACAGCATATCACCGAGGGCTCCAAAACTTCTTGAATCCCATTATGTTGTGGAGCTGCTTCATAGCTTCCGTTGACTGTTTTTCCTTATGGGAGCTGTCTCTTTTAATGAACAAAGCAAGAATGACTCTGTGGCTGATGGAGCTGAGCATTAAAATGTTTTTTTCTCCCCTGACACTCAGAAAGTACTATTGCTCACAGGAATGGATGAACCTCAGAAGTGGGTGCATGGAGAGGGACAGCAAATCACGTTAAAGGCAAAATGTGAATTGCCATGGCCCTAACATTGATATTGTCACCGCTCCAGTTTAGATGATATCTATCAACACAGCAACAACCAAAGCGCAAATTATAGCTCAAAGTGTAATAGTCACAGGGTGCTGTGATGGAAGGTTCTTCTTGCAGCCTCAGTCACTTTGAAGAAGAATGGAGGGATAAGAGGCTGGAAGTAGAAAGTAAGAATGATGGAAATACTATGGCTATTGATGATGAATAGACTTCTAATATTTGAATGGTCCTCTTCTAACCAATATTCCTGGGTGACAGATACCATTATAATACTGTTGCCATTTATAAACATGTGTAAAGGAGAATATAACCTGAATCCTGTGAATGGCATATGTGTGCTTTATGTACAGGTATATCCCTTTTTTGGGAGCCCCGGTGGTGCAGTGGGTTAAAGCGCTGAGCTGCTGAACCTGCTGATTGAAAGGTTGCAGGTTCGAATCCCGGGAGTGGTGTGAGTTCCCGCTGTTAGCCCCAGCTTCTGCCAACTTAGCAGTTCGAAAACATGCAAATTTGAGTAGATCAATAAGTACTGCTCCAGTGGGAAGGTAACGGCGCTCTATGCAGTCATGCCAGCTACTTGATCTCGGAGATATCTACAGACAATGCCGGCTCTTCAGCTTAGAAATTGAGATAATAATAATAATAATAATAATAATAATAATAATAATAATAATAATCTTTATTTATACCCTGCCACCATCTCCCCAACGGGGACTCTGGGTGGCTTACATGAGGCCGAGCCCAGACAACATATTACAGCAAAATAAAACCAAAACATAACCAAGAACCCCCAGAGTTGGACATAATGGACTTAATGTCAGGGAAATACCATTACTATCCATTTTTGACTAGGGCATAAAAGGCTGTTTGTAAAACCTCTTGTGTCCTAGCTAAAATGTCCCTCTTGGGCAAATCTCGTGGGGCTGCTGTTATAGTGGAAGGGGTGGAGACGGAGCAAAGCAATGAGACTTCATGGTTTCTTAATCTCTTGCAATTTCCTGGAGAAAGGTTGCCACTTGAAGTGATGGTAAAAGGCAAGTAACTAACTAACATTTTGAGCTCAGTCTGCAGCAATGGAGGTAAGCTGAGGAAAAGGTGGAAAGACAGAGAAGTTAAGACATTTTAAAAGTAGCTGGAAAAAAAAGAGATGACAGAGGATTAATCGAGGCTGTCCCTATAAAACTGGGACAGAGTATGGTACACCATGTAGGATCTTGTCTTATATCTGTTAAGACAAGATTAAAGTGGCCAAAATGACAAACTAATATGTCCAAATATCTCCAGTCATTCAAATAATGTTGAAAGCTTTGCAAAGGTAGCATCTTAGGATCTGACGGCCCTTCCACACAGCCATATAACCCAGAATATCGAGGTAGAAAAACCACAATATCCAATTTGCACTGGATTATGAGTCCACACTGCCACATAATCCGGTTCAATGTAGATTTTATACAGCTGTGTGAAAGGGGCCTCAAAAAACCCCCCAAAGAATCAAAATAGAAAACTGGAAAGTTGTATTCAGTTGGTCACCAGAACATATTCAAGGTTTTCAGTGTTTCTTCAATTTCCTTCTCAAGGATTTCCAAAGAACGATCACAAGAGATTTGATTAATTCATTTTGCATTTAAAAACTTTTCTAAGTTGCAGTGAGATTTGTTAGTGTTCTAGCTTTCTGTGAATGAGATATTTTCTGGCATGATTAGACTGCCCAGTGGGAAGAAGGAAAAACTGGAACTGCCAGTCTTTGGATATATATCTAAAACAAATAATGTTTTTTTTCCTTTGGCTTTGAAGAAACAAACCAGATTTTTCAGACATACAACAAGCAAGCCACAACAGAAGGCCTGTGGTTTGTTTAGCTGATCCATATTCTCTTGTGTCTTAACTTAGGTTTGTTTGCTTGCTGAGAAACTAGAGAGTGTGCATCGGCATTGTCTGTCATCACTGATTTTGCCTTGTTATAATGTCCAGCCTTCCATCCCAACTGTTATGAATCTGAAATAACAGGATCCAGCATCTTCTGGATTTAGGGTGGATCTACAGTGGAGAGTCCATGCATTTTGACACAACTATACAGCCATGCTTCACTGCTATGGAATCATGAGAGCTGTAGTTTGGTGAGGCACCAGCACTCTTTGCAGAGAAAGCTAAAGGCCTTGTAAAGCTGTAGCTCTCATGATTTCATAGCATCGAGTCATGGTAGCTAAAGTGATGTCACACCGTATTCTTTCTACAGTGTAGATCAGTGGTTCTCAACCTTTTTTCAATCAAAATTAGTACCAAAAGAGTTGCAAATCGGTTTTTAGTTAACTTTAGATTTGGTTTGGTTATTTAGGGTGCAGATTCAGAAAATTGCATTAGATAGACAACATCAGCTCTCATTTCCGATACAGAACATATGCCATCCAGTAGTTGCCTTCTGCTCGCCTACAGAAAACCATAATTCATAACCTAGAGCTGATATGGTAGTAGTAATCTTTTGTGGGCAGCCAACCTCCCCCCTCCTGCCATCCCCATTGCTTTGGCACTGTAAGAGGATTTTGCAGGACCAGTTGCTCTAATTGTTGTGTGGTTTCGGGCAAAAATGTAGTAGTGATGAGGCCGCAAACCATATTTTTGTTCTTGTAGACCACTGATGGTCCACGGACCACAGGTTGGGAACCATTGGTGTAGATGCACCCTTTCATTCGACCACCGATATCCTCTTTTCTTTGCGTCTTGTAAATTAGAGGGCAGAGATCTGTCAAATTGTAAGCCACTCATATAAACTGATGGCACTGCATAAACAATATACAGTAGTTTCAAACTGTACTGCATGCGAAGTTTAAAACAATGTAGTTTAGCAGTTCACTCAGACCAAAAGTACAGAGAAAGTCTTGGTATGTTAGAGGAGCATTATACAGTACTATATATGCAATACAGAGAACTGCTCTCAATTTCCATGGCCAAAGAAATAAGAATTTTGTTGGACTGATGTTTACAAAGAATGAATGTAGTCTTGCTTTGAAGTTCTAATGAGTGGGACTGTTTGCCTCTCTATGTGAAGCCTCATGTTTCTGGTCATTTGATTCTCCACTTCAATAGGAATAAGGACACAAATGCTTAGAGAAAGGCATGAATATTTGCTGAAACCCATTTGAAACTCCATGAACTGAGAAATCAATATAGCAAGAGACAAGAGTATATTGAAATTGACTTTGTTACCATCTAAAAACCAAACCAAACAAAGAATCAAAAGCACAAAAGGAATGTGGATCACGTCTCATGTTATAAAACGTTTTCAATTTATTTCATGTATAATATCATGTTTTCCTACTCTGCAATTATACTAAAAAAAATTGCAAACAGCTTATTGCATAACATTGTTTTCCAAATTAGCCCGGAAATATTTGCTGACTCCATATTCAGACACAATACGAAAGGTGTATCAATACTGAACGTTAGTTTTCAAGAGAGGTTTATGACAGCAGCTCTTTTGTGGAAAGCAGCACCCATTTAATTATATTGGTTCTTTGTTGTTGTTGTTTTTTTTTGTCAGACAGAACAACATCGGCAATAGAAACACAAACCGGAGAATTTCAATGAATGTGTTCCTGAGCCGTGACAATTTCACTTGGATCTCAGCGTGTGTGTGGACTATTTTGCATAATTCTAGAGGCCTTCTAGGACTTAGCTATTACAGAGTATTATAAATATCACTGAGACACAGAGATGTGGCATCTAACATTATATCTAAGCCTATATAGTTGCACCGATGTTGTGGAATGGGAAATGTATATACGAAAGAAAAAGAATGATGAAAAAGAAAATAATGATGCACACAATGCAAAATACTGTATTTTAGTTTTGAGACAGTTCAAGCATATACAGCATATACACAATAAAGCTCAGGATATTATCTTTTTTTTCCTTTTTGCATCATCTAAAAGAAGCAACCATGAATTCAAAATTCAACACCAACTTAGTGCAGTCTGCTTTGTTCACCTTTGAAAGACACACAGAAACATACACGCTCACGCACGCATACGCTCACACATACACACACAATGGATACATTATTTGCTGTAATTTACAATATATATATATTTATATATATTTATATGAATTTTATAAAAATACAGAAAAGAAAAGAGGAAATTCCTTGCACTCAGATACTGAGCATTAACCCTTTTGAGTACTAATTCCCACCTGCAAACACTGCAGAACACATTCATCTGACACTCGGTTTGTTTTAATCACATTCTAAAAATTATAATCATCATCTGTTATGTACACTGTAAGGAAATAGATTTTTACATAGCCTAAAATGGAGGGATTCACAACATGCTGATTAAGGAACACACAGTGACTTGAACCCTATAGACCTTGACAAAAATAATCCCATACAAAGAAATCCCATTTCCCAGGGAACTGCCTAACCTTGCCTTAACCTAGTAGTATCCAGATATGTCAGACTATAATGCACAGCTGTTCTAGCTAGTCAGACACATCTGGGTGACACCAGATTAGGAAAGTTGGTCCTAAGTTGTAAGCAATGTATGAGGTCTTTGATAGAGCTCGTGTGATATGTCTATACATTTGTTCTTAATGGCCATATAATGTTGTGCTTGTCCTTTCTTTCTTTTTTAAAAATTTCTTGAAATACTGTTCTCCCCACAACGATTGATAGATTTTTGTGGTTTTCTTTTTTATAGCTGTATAGTCCCATTCACATTATGTCATCATTTTTTATAGCCAGACTCTTTACTTTTTAAAAAAATATATAAGGGCAATTACAATTCTATTTTCTACTGTGAGTTGGGGCTTTGTGTCCAGATGTTCATGGATATCTATTTTTTAAAAACTCTCTTTGCCCAAAGCCTTGTGAGTAGAGAATGTCGCTGACCCTAAAGTGGCCTAGAGTTGAGCAGAATAAATCAATAAAAAATCCGACTGTTGAAGGTCAAATTTCCATAGAAATATAAAGACAACCCTGCATTTGTTTTGGCAGATGACTGAAAGGCATGGGAAAGAAGAGGCAGAATAAATAAAATAAATAACATAAATATATATATTTTAAAAAATTATATTCACCTACAGCAGTGGTTCCCAACCTTTTTTTGACCAGGGACCATTTGAATAGGGACTGCTTTGACCAGGGATCACTCTCCAACATTAGTACCAAAAGGGTTACGAATCATTTTTTGGTCAACTTTAAATTCAGTTTAGTTATTTGGGATTCTGATTCAGAAAAATGCATTGGGTAGACCACATCAGCTCTAGTTTCTGATGCAGAACATATGCCATCCAGCAGTCCATCACTTCGCTCACAGAAGACCATATTTAATAAGCTAGAGCTGATGTGGTAGTAGCAATCTTTTATGAGTAGTCAGTCTCTCCCCTTCCGACATCCCCGTTGCCTCAGCACTACAGGATGTTTTCATGACACCAGTCGCTCTCATTGCCACGGGAGTTCGAGACAACGGTGTAGTAATAGTGAGGCCAAGGACCATATTTTCGTTCTTGTAGACCACTGGTGGTCCACAGACCACAGGTTGGGAACCACTGTTCTACAGTGCAATCCTATCATGTTTACTTGGAAGTAAAACCCATTGGGTCTTCCTCCCTAGGAAGGGCATTCAGAATTGCAGGCTTAAAGTGGTGTTGCATTTCCTTAGCAGACTATGAATTGACTACTTTGGTACTATTCTTGTGAAAGAAAACTCTATGTACCAGTCTTCCCCATCTCTAAACCAAAGTAAGCAAACAACCTTGTCTGAGTGAGGTGCTTTTGAGTTCCAGTGCTCTTCAGCAGGTAAGACTTAAGCAAGTCCACAGTTTTATTTCTTTCCCACTAAATTGGTCCTCCAATTCCTTTACTTGTGTTTGATAGTGCCCTAACTAATTTGTTAAGTCAACTTTTGTAAATTGGCTGTTGTCCTCCAAGAGTCAACGATAAACACTACTTTTGTTTTAAAAGACAGTGGTAGGAGAGCTTGCAAGCTGGTTCCAAGCGCATACTTACAGAGGAGTGAAGTTTGTGAAGACAGCTGCTAGTACACTGCACAGTGCCACAGATAATGAATAGTGCATGCTCGGTAGAGACATTAGAGTGGACCCTTATTAAAGATATCATATAACCTTATACAAAGGATTGTGCCACTTAAACTAGTGCAGTAGTGCTTTTCCTCTCCCTTTTCCTAGAATGATAATGCTCTAGATTAATACCCACATGGATAGTCACAGCCTTTTATAATAGAGGGTTTCTTCTTCTTCTTCATTTTACACATGGATCACTAGGAAACAGCAAGTGGTGTCATTCTGATGGGTGTCATGCAAATAAAAGCAATCATTAGAATACTAATAAAAACAAAAGGAATACAGTCAATACAGCACCATAGATGTTTAACAAGGGACATTACCTAGTATTTCTCTCCAACAGATGGGATGTAACAGCAACTGTACACTATATGATTTCACAGGCTGTATGCTACAGGAGGTCACTGGAGGCAGTATCACTTTTGTAGGGCTAAATAGCTGTGTTTGTTTGTTAATGAAATCCTCCTTTTCCTACTAGAATTTTAGAAATCAATTTTAGATTGACATTTTTGAAAAAAATAACCCAAGAAGGCTGCAATGCTGATATGTATCTACTGTCAGATGCTAATGCATTTTTTTAAAAAAAATACATGGGCAATGTGTTGCAACAAAAACATACTGCATCATATTCTACTCCCTAAGTTGACTTTTCCATTTCCACCACCATCATTTCTTTAACAATAATTTTGAGGCTGCCAATGCTTTTTCAAGCCTCAAATTAAGAAAGCAATAGGTTGAAAACCTGCCCAGTCTACTGATGTGTACACAAACATGTAGAATCCGATTCAGTTTAGAAGAAAAACAAAGATCAACAGTGTGAAATCCGATGTGTGCCTACTCACAAGTAAACCCCAATGAATTAATCTGCGCTTACTCCCAGATAAGAGTATATAGGCTTGCAGTCTGAGATGGTCTTAGATGCAAAAGGAACAGCACAGCACACCAACTACACAGTAGTTTCATTCTTCCAAGGGCCAGTTTTGATATTCCCTGTACTATCTGAGCTGTAGACCATGGCTTCATGCAGGTTCCCCTTTAAAATCCCATTGTGGCTGGTTGTACTAAATGGTAAGGACTGTGTCCGTGGATGCATCTCAAAATGAGCTGCATGGTGCACTATTGTCTCACTTTCTGGCATTTTAGCACAGCTGTAGATCACAGTACTTGCATCGCTACTTTCAGGCTGGCTGAGGGTAGGATACGGATCATTTTTTGCACAGCATGGCCGCCTGTGGCCTGACTGACTATCGTGGGTACTGTGTGGACTGTCTGTGTGGGAGCTGTGGATACTGCCATCAATGCTGGAAGGAATATGGTATGCATACTCTCTTTCCCCCGCAGACCGATGCCGGCTGAAGTACCGTGGCTTAGTTCTGCTTTTCAGACATCGGTGAATGTGCATGTTGGGCCTGAAAGTCCCCTCGTTGTGTACATGGATGTGAGCGTCATCTTCCAGGAGTTGATCACAGTGCATTTTCGCACAGCAGGGTGTGACTGGTGAAAGGCAGTTGACGTGGTTCTGAACAGCTTGCAGATTGGTAAGTTTGCAGTGACTAGCAGCTGGGTGGTTGAAAACGGCAGACTTACCAGGACAGGGGGATTCCTGAAGACACGGGGCATGGACCTGACTCTCCCCGTTGACATTAACCTTTGGCCGGACATTAACTTGCACAGAGTATGTGTTTCTTTTAGATGGGCAACAAGACCACCAGCAATGCCACACATCATCTCGCTTTGCACAGTGATGGATGAGGATGAAAAGCCCCAAGGTCACACAAAATGCTCCATATAGGCAGCTGAAGATCATATCCAAGAAATGTCCTTGGGAAACAGCAAGGGCACCAAAGGTCCAAGTGGCTATAAACAAGAACAACGTGAATGCAGCAGCTCGAAGCTGAGCCTTGAAGGAGTGCTCGTTTTCCAGCAAGGAAGAAGAAATCATGGAGCAAGTAGCCTGGGAGACGGATCCTGTGTCTGTGATGTGACTATGGCCAACCTCAGGGCTGGCCAGTCTCTGCTGATCTTCTGTCCTTTCCTTCAATTCATATTTGCGTTCTGGATGGCGCCTCAACTGCACATATGTGCAGAGGAAATAAATGCAGGTGACCAGGACAATAAATGCAACTGGTCCATAGAATGCACCAAGGCTTGGCTCCCATGCCATCCAGCAGCTGAAATAGAAAAAAAAAGAAACAAATTCAGGGTATTTAAACAACATGGAATCAAATAAGTAATTCTGAGTCAAGGCTTTCTACAAAAAGAAGGCAGTACAGCAAGGAAACTAATACGATGGCAGAACATATTGTTCTAAATTTTTAGAAAAAGAAACAGCTATTCACTTCAAGTCATAATGTTTGAAACTATTCGGCTTGTGCAATCTGGGTAAGCCACGATCTATTTTGATGTCCTGGATTTCAGTGGGGGTCCCGATCCATTTTTTGGAAGCCTCCCAAATTTTGGAGGACAGAAATCAGTCTTTGATCCAGGAAGCCAAAAGATTTGTTTTCTATCTAGCCCACTGGTGGCAATGGCGGGGAGGATGAGGACTTCCCAGGCTCACTTTCCCATCATTTTAGGCATTGTTTGCCTTTATATTCTTCATTAGCAGTGGCTAGGGGAGCTTTTGCACAATTAAAACTTGTGCACCAGCTGCGCCCGCACCTTGGGAAATCTGACTTGGCCACAGTGGTCCACGCTCTTGTTACATCCTGAATAGACTACTGCAACACACTCTACATGGGGCTGCCTTTGAAGACTGCCCGGAAACTTCAATTAGTCCAATGGTTGGCAGCCAGGTTGCTCACAACTCCTCTGTTATGCCAGCTCCACTGGTTGCTGATCTGCTACCAAGCACAATTCAAAGTGCTGATTTTAACCTTTAAAGCCCTAAATGGTTCTGGCTCAGACTACTTGTCCTACGTATCTCCTGCTACAAACCATCACGAAGTTTAAGATCATCTGGAGATGCCCTGCTCTTGATCCCACCGCAATCGCAAATGCGATTGGTGGGGACGAGAGATAGGGCCTTCTCAGCAGTGGCCCCCCGTTTGTGGAATTCCCTCTCCAGAGACATCAGATTGGCCACTTCCCTCCTGTCCTTCAGAAGGAAACTCAAGACTTGGTTGTGGGACCTTGTGTTTGACCACTGAATAGCGGCTAGTGAAAAGAAGACATAAGCAACTTGAAGTGACAATGAATTGACCCGGATTCTGATTTTAACTGATGTGTTTTAACAACTGTTTATTTAATGTTCCGTTTTTAATTAATTTCTTGATTGTTTTTATTATTGTCCCCCTTCGGAGGTGAGAAGGGCAGGGTACAAATATATGAAACAAACAAATAAATAAATAATAAAAACCTGAATTAAAAGCATCAGAGTTAAGATAGCACTTTTTCTGCAATCATTTCCCTTCTGTCAGTAGAGGAGACCTGGGTTTAAAGAAAGGGCTTAAGAAACCTTGCTTCCTGGGATCATTTCCCTTCAGTCTGTAGAGTAGACCTGGTTTAAATAAAGGGCTTAAAAAACCTCACTTCCTGCTGCCTCCCTCCCCACACTTTACATGTAACTGAAAGAAATTGAAAGCTGCCGGTTTTCAACAGGCACTGTTCTGTTGCGGCCAGTAAAAAATTGGAGACGGAGCCCATGCCATTATGGGCTTCCGAACCAACCGAATGAGCTGAAGATAAACGTCCATAACAAATCTATGCATAAGCCTAGAAACGATGATGAATGGGGGATGTTTGTCATTGCCTTCTTTTGAGGCGAAGAGACTTGTCCAAAACCACCCAATGGATCTTGCAAATCTTTATCTTCCAGAGACGTAATCCGAACCATTATATTACACCTACATTTATTCTAAAAATTGAAGAATAACAAAGCTTTGGGTTGCAATGATCTTACCTGATCACAGAGATTTCTCAGAGATCAGCTTAAACCACCCCCATAAAAACCTTGCAGCCTGAAAAATGACACACTTAGCCAGCCAAATGCTTTGTGCAGATGGAGAGCTGGAGCTTGCTGCTTCCTAACATGTGTATGTGTGTATGAAATTGGATCTTTGTATTTTCTTCTTGGGAGAGCTGAACATGTAGGGAAGGCAGGAAAGAAAGTAGTAGTTGAAGAATGGGAGACTGCCACAAGCCAGTTGAAAGGAAGGCTCAACAACATTACTAGCTGGGTAGAAGGAGAGCCTGTCTCAAACGTCTCTTTCAGCTGACTAGCTAGCGTGTCAGTGCTAAGTGGGAGGATGACCTAGTTATCATGGATGCATCATCAGTGTCCACTTAGTGTCGGGATGAGAGAGAGGTTATTTTGGAAGAGACGGGAAGCAGGCTTTCTCTGATCAATGTATATGTGCAGAGGGTGGATTAAGATGTAGTGAAGAGTGTTACATTTAAAGTAGGACTAAGGTGGGGTAGAAGATCAAGGCCAAGGCAGGGTGAAAAATCAGGCTAAGACAATGACTGAGATAGAACCTGGACTCCAAGACAGAAGAACCTGGATCACTGAACTTCCAAATTCCTGTATGTGCCTCAACAGGAGGTGTCTTAGCTTTCCATAATACATGATGTCCTCACATGTATCTCCGTATGGTGTAGTGACTGGAATATTAACATTAAGGCTCATCTCCCCAATGCATCATGCAACTCAATGGATAAGCTTGGGCAAATGATTCACTCCTTCCCTTCCCTTCTCTTCCCTTCCTTTCTCTCTCTCTCTTGGTCTAACCAACCTGTCATGGTGAGGAAGAGGAGAGCCACACATACACTGCCCTAAGCTAACGTTGAAATTGGAAGAAACAAAACAAAACAAATAGCTATAAGAACTGTTTGACAGTGAATAGACTGAGCATGTGTGCTTTCCATCTTTCAGGAGTTATTTAGTCGTATATGCCTCATGGCAGAAAGATTGAACTAAATGACTCTTGCGGTCCTTTCCAGGTAGCAGGTGATCTGATAGCCATCCCTTACCATTTGTCTTGCTTGCTGTTGACCTTTGCAGCCTGAAAGACAGTTGCATCTGTCAAGTAGGAAATTTATGCTAATTTAACTAATTTACAATGCCTTAAAAATCTCCAGCAGCATGCAAAAGAATGAGGAAGTACTCAATTGGTGTCGAAGCTCTAGGTGCTCTAACTGCCTATTACAGGGGAAACCAACTGATCCCTAATCCATCTAAAACACAGACATGTGCCTTTCACCTTAAGAACAGACAAGCATCCCGAGCTATGAGGATTACCTGGGAAGGAATCCCACTGGAGCATTGCAGCGCACCCAAATACCTGGGAGTCACTCTGGACCGTGCTCTGACCTACAAGAAGCACTGCCTGAACATCAAGCAAAAAGTGGGCGCTAGAAACAATATCATACGAAAGCTGACTGGCACAACCTGGGGATCACAACCAGACACAGTGAAGGCATCTGCCCTTGCGCTATGCTACTCTGCTGCTGAGTATGCATGCCCAGTGTGGAACACATCTCACCACACTAAAACAGTGGATGTGGCTCTTAATGAGACATGCTGTCTGCGCCCTACACCACTGGAGAAATTACACTGTCTTAGCCAGTATTGCACCACCTGACATCCGCCAGGAAGTAGCAGCCAATAGTGAAAGGACCAAGGCAGTGACATCTCCAGCTCATCCCCTGTTTGGGTATCAGCCAGCACGTCAACGACTTAAATCAAGAAATAGTTTTCTAAGACACTCGCTGGAACACCCCAGCAAGCGAGAGTCCAAAAGTGGCAGGCTCAAACCCAGAACCTCAATCAATGGTTGATACCAAATGAGAGACTTGACAGATTAGAGAGGTGGGCCAAAACTAACAAAATGAAGTTCAGAAGTGACAAATGCAAGATACTCCACTTAGGCAGAAAAAACAAAAGGCAAAGATACAGAATGGGGGACAATGCCTGGCTCGAGAGCAGTACGTGTGAAAAAGATCTTGGAGTCCTCGTGGACAACAAGTTAAACATGAGCCAACAATGTGATGTGGCGGCAAAAAAAGCCAATGGGATTGTGGCCTGCATCAATAGGAGCATAGTGTCTAGATCTAGGAAGTAATGCTACCCCTCTATTCTGCTTTGGTTAGACCACACCTGGAATATTGTGTCCAATTCTGGGCACCACAATTCAAGAGAGATATTGACAAGCTGGTGTGTCCAGAGGAGGGCGACTAAAATGATCAAGGGTCTGGAGAACAAGCCCTGTGAGGAGTGGCTTAAGGAGCTGGGCATGTTTAGCCTGAAGAAGAGAAGGCTGAGAGGAGATATGATAGCCATGTATAAATATGTGAGAGGCAGCCACAGGGAGGAAGGAGCAAGCTTGTTTACTGCTTCCATGGAGATTAGGACAAGGAACAATGGCTTCAAACTACAAGAAAGGAGATTCCATCTGAACATGAGGAAGAACTTCCTGACTGTGAGAGCCGTTCAGCAGTGGAACTCTCTGCCCCGGAGTGTGGTGGAGGCTCCTTCTTTGGAAGCTTTTAAACAGAGGCTGGATGGCCATCTATCAGGGGTGATTTGAATGCAATATTCCTGGTTCTTGGCAGGGGGTTGGACTGGATGGCCCATGAGGTCTCCTCCAACTCTTTGATTCTATGATTCTATGAAAATGACAGCTCCCCTGGTGGCCAGAATTCAAGCATACTTTCATGAAACTAGAATGTTAAAATACCCTCTGTGTGTCTGTCTATATATGTTGTGTGTCTATGGCATTGAATGTTTGCCATGTATGTGTGCATTGTAATCCACCCTGAGTCCCCTGCAGGGTGAAAAGGGTGGAATATAAATACTGAAAATAAACAAATAAATAAGATCTCCTGCAGAACCACAGCGTGCAAGCAGGCAACCTCCTTTTGGTCTGTACAGAAGAGGAAGCATATTTTTGGTCTTCAAAAACAAACATATTTGAATCTATTCATCTTCTCTGTCACACATGTCAAGCCACCCATGCGTTTTTATTCAGAATCTAAAACTCTTTTTAAAAGATTCACAGTTCATCTGATCAAAACAACATGTGGCTCCATACACATTCCTGACAAAGTTTCGACATCTACACAGTTTACACCAAGTAAAAGTGGAGCAATCCCCGATGGAACCGTCGCTCTTAGGATGCTGCTATTTTGAAGAGGAACCTCATAACAGACCACTTCAAAAATCAGTTCCATAAAGAACACGCTGAAGTCAGGGCATCTACATTTTTATGTAGTAACATTATTAAAAATGAATAAGGCACACAACATTGCCGTGCAGTTGCTCAGTTTGGAGCTTTCTCTCCCTCCTCAGCATTTTTATCACTCTACTGGCTTCGCTCCTCACATTGTGATATCTGGTATTGATTGCCTGTGATTAAAGTGATTAAGCCAAAGCAGCATAGACTCTGCAACATTGCCAAAGGGAAGGTCTTTCGCAAATTTATGAACATAAATAATCAGATCTTTTAATACCCTGTTGATTATAAGTGATTGTCTAATCACAAGCATTGAAATAAATATGTTCTTAATATGACAGAATTTCCAGAATAACCTCCATCCTGTTTAGCAGAATCTGCCAAAGCTCTTCACTTATCTGGTGCCTGCTTCTAAAAAGGAATTTATTGAAAATGTTTTCATAAAGCCAAAACATAATTTGCCTTATTTCTCCCCTCCTGTTACAAATATAGTAGCACAGGATATGCCAAATGACTGCTAAAGGGTTTTCCTCACCGCTTTAACATGAAATTAAATCCACACAAAGATACAGATATGCTGTATTTATTCATTACTTATACAGATTGGGCCTCCTGGTGGTGCAGTGGGTTAAACTGAATTGCTGCACTTGCTGACTGAAAGGTCAGCGGTTTGAATACAGGGAGCTGGGTGACCTCCCACTGTTAGAACCAGATTCTGCCAAGCTAGAAGTTCAAAACATGCAAATGTGAGTAGATCAATAGGTACTGCTTTGATGGGAAGGTGGGAACAGTGCTCCATGCAGTCATGCTGGCCACATGACCTAGAACAGTGTTTCTCAACCTTTCGATTGCCGCAAGCCCTTAGCACAGTTCCTCATATTGTGGTGACCCCCAACCATAACTTTGTTTTCATTGTTGATCTACTCACATTTGCATGTTTCGAACTTCTAGCTTGGCAGAATCTGGTTCTAACAGCGAGTGCTGGGTAAATGACCTCGGAGGGCCGTATCCGGCCCCCGGGCCTTAGTTTGGTCTATAGCTTACAAACCTTTACCAGTCTGTGGATGATAGTCCACGGACTGGTAGAAGTCTACAAGCCATAGACTACTAGTCTGCCACAAATTTCTGGGAAATTATGTACATACAATAATAATATGGCATAAATATGGTATAGGTCTATTTTGGAGCCCCCGGTGGCGCAGTGGATTAAAGCACTGAACTGCTGAGCTTGTTGACCGAAAGGTCGCAGGTTCAATTCCAGGGAGCAGAGTGAGCTTCCACTGTCAGCCCTAGCTTCTGCCAACCTAGCAGTTCAAAAACATGTAAATGTGAGTAGATCAATAGGTACCGCTCCGGCGGGAAGGTAACGGCGCTCCATGCAGTCATGCCGGCCACAAGACCTTGGAGGTCTCTATGGACAACGCTGGCTCTTCGGCTTAGAACTGGAGATGGGCACCACACCCCAGAGTCAGACATGACTGGACTTAATGTCAGGGACAAGCTTTACCTTTATGGTATAGGTCCATGGCACATCAGAAGAAAAATTCTGGCCCACCATATTAGGTAACTTGGGAAGAACTGTACTGGCTCTCACACTCCATTTCAAAGCACCCAATTTAATCAATCTTCTGGTCCACTGATCAGGAATATGAAGCCTGATGTATAAAGTTCTATGCAAGCAAGAGCTCTGTTGTGTGAATTGGCATAGTCATGGAGCTCTGGATTTCGGGCATAATGCTTATGTTCCACAACTGACTTTTTAATTGGCAGTCTGCATGTTTTGCTTTTCTCTTTGGATCTCCAACAAGCGTCCTGCTCTCTGAAGGGTCATGAGGACATGCCTGAATACCTTTAGGCATACTTTAAAAAAAAAAACAGCAGAGTGTAAAGTTTAAAAGGTAAATTAAAATACACCAAGATACAATCTTGTACAGCCTTGGGCTTCTGCTGTAGGTGTATGTTTTACAGATCACTCCTAGAGTGCACTGATACAATTGCCAGAAAGCTGTGCACCCTCCAGCACTTCACAGATGAAAACCGGGACAAGGGTGGCTAAGCAATATCAGAGTGTGGCCAAGCAACAAGAGGGCAAACATTATTAATAGAACAAAACTGCTATTTTAAACAGATAACCCCTGGACATTCTGGACTGAGTTTAGGAAAGACAGCAAAAAGTGGAAAAATGAATACAGTACTTTGTATTTGTGTATTTATTGGGAAACTTATTCTTTTCATTGCTTATGTGGCTAAAAATAATTGGAGAAAGGAGCATACATATATTGAACTATTTTTCCTGCTCTTTTGTTTTAGAAAGGTGGTGAGCCTGCCTTAACCCTGGAAGACCAGGTGGCCTTGAAGTCCACGGAAATTTAGGTCATAACAAATGTGTTAGCTCTTTAGTTAATATTAAGGAACAGGTCTCTGCTCACTAGAGAAAGAAATGAACTCTACATAAGTGGAGACCCACAACAAGATGCTGCAGTACACACCAGCCCCTTTGTAGGTCTCACAATTCAGGTATCATGGATAGGTAGGAATTTTCAGACATGGAGCTATATAGTGAGGGACTTGTTCTGGAGAATGAGAACACATTTCATTTTATTTCATGTATTTCATCTTATCACAAGATTGCTCAAGGATGAGTGAGTACATATATCCCATCCTCTATTTCATCATGATCCTTCTGGGGTGCCTTGTGGGGATGGGTCTTGGAGGTACTGTTCTACAGTGGCTCCAGTCCTTCCTGGAGGGTCGTACTCAGAAGGTGTTGCTGGGGGACTCCTGCTCGGCCCCACAGCCATTGTCCTGTGGGGTCCCGCAGGGCTCAGTATTGTCCCCCCTGTTGTTTAACATCTACATGAAGCCGCTGGGTGAGATCATCCGGAGTTTTGGAGTTCGATGCCATCTGTACACAGATGATGTCCAACTCTATCACTCATTTCCACCAGATGCTAAGGAGGCTGGCCGCTGTGATGGTTTGGATGAGGACGAGCAAATTGAAGTTGAATCCAGACAAGACAGAGATTCTCCTGGTCAGTCACAGGGCCGAACAGGGTATAGGGTCACAACCTGTGCTGGATGGGGTTACACTCCCCTTGAAGACACAGGTTCACAGCTTGGGGGTCCTCCTTGACTCATCACTGAGCCAGGTTGCAGCAGTGGCCAGGGGAGCTTTCGCACAATTAAAACTTGAGCACCAGGTACGCTCATACATTGGGAAGTCAGACTTGGCCACGGTGGTCCATGCTCTTGTTACATCAAGGACAGACTACTGCAATTCACTCCACGTTGGGTTGCCTTTGAAGACTGCTCGGAAGCTTCAAATAGTCCAATGAGAGGGAGCCAGGTTAATAACTGGGGCGGCATACAGGGAGCATACAACTCCCATGTTACGCCAGCTCCACTGGTTGCCAGTTTGCTACCAGGCACAATTCAAAGTGCTGGCTTTGGCCTATAAAGCCCTAAATGGCCCCAGCCCAAATTACATGTCTGAACGCACCTCTCCCTATCAACCATCGTGGAGATTAAGATCCTCCGGGAAGGCCCTGCTTTCTGTCCCACCATTTTCCTAGGCACGATTGGGGGATGAGAGACAGGGCCTTCTCAGTGATTGCTCCCCAGCTATGGAATTCCCTTCCTGGTGAGATCAGGTAGGCCCCCTCTCTCCTGTTCTTTAGAAGGATGGTAAAAACTTGGCTGTGGGACCAAGCTTTCGGGACAGGGCAATAAAGCAGCAATAGTAAAGATTACCAGGCTAATTAGATTTGACGTGGATGACTAGGACGGTTTTAAATGGTGTATTTTAATATTTTGATAAATGTTTTTAATGTTTATGTATGTATATAAGAATTTGTGTCCCGGTATTGAATGCTTGCTGTATATATGCTGTGCTCCGCCCTGAGTCCCCTTTGGGGTGAGAAGGGCGGAATATAAATGTTTTAAATAAATAAATAAATTAGAGTAGTCCCACGAGACAGCAAAACTGTTTGAAGATTTGAAGTCGAGTTTCTCCAGTTCTAGGGCCCTTTTACACCACCCAGTTAGATTGCTTTGAATCAACTTTAATTGTCAAAGCAACATCCTATGCAGTCCTAGGACTGGCAGTTGAGGCAAGGCATTTAGAATCCTCTTCACCAAATAAAAAAACCCATGATATCATAGGGTGGAACATGGCAGTCAAACTAGAATCATAGTTGTATGGTTGTGCATTACAGTGTATCACATAGAGGTAGCTACTTTGGGGCCAATACTAGAAAAATGTGGGATATAAGTTAATCAACAAATAAAAGTGTGAAAGGCTCTCTTGGCTGGCATTCAAAACACTACCCAACAGTGGCTTTCCTTTCATTCTTCTTGAAACATTTCTACAGTGTCTTAGGGGAGCAGATTAATCCTATGTACTAAATTATTTAGAGCTTGAGTTGGCAAATTTCCTATCTTTTCTAATCTATGCAACTAAGATTTTGCATCCAAAGTGCTCTCCATTTGGGTCTCCTAGGGTTTTTTTCTATCTTATTACAGGTTAAACTGCTATCAGTTAGTCACAGTACCTATAGTACTTGTTGGATAAGTTTTTGTTTCTTAGCAGTCTTCTTTTTCTGTACAAGTATGAACATTATTGTATATATAATGGGTGTCCCCAAAGAATGTAAAAAACCACTGCTTTGTTTTGGGGCAATCCTCTGTTGCTTCCAAAGCGATAAATACTGAACCTGCTATTACAGGGTGCCCGATAGTTGGAAAACATTAATGACATACTTACAATTGGGCTCCTGCGTAGCTTTTTATCCCATAATTGTTTATGTTGGTTGCTGCTGTAATTCCACAGATAATAAAAGGAACTCCTCCACTAATCAGATAAAACCTGTGAAAACATAATATTGACAAGTTAATTTGTTCAATTTCAAGTAAATGGCATTCTTTGTAAAAAAAAAATCATACTCAAAACAGCACAATATCCACTAAGATCTTACTTTTACATGTCCACTGAAATAATAAATAATCATTACCATGCTAAGAGATAGAATTGGCTATCATAAGGCATTACCTAAGATGTAAATAGAGTAGTACCAGTTCCGGACTATATTTATTAGTCATGGGTCCACTGACTAATTCGGCTGTTTAATTCGTGTTTTCATACATACAATTTGTTTCATTCAGATGGCACGAAACGGTACACCCCTTTCTGGTACGAAAATATCAGTGAAACGAAAGAAAAGTGGGAATGGTAACCATTTGGTAGCCTGATTTTGAATGCTCGGATGCAGGCTCTGGCAGGGGCTGGTGTTTTGGGCCTGCACGATGCACACTCACTCTCTTCCCAATGACAGTGCGTGTGTGCAGGGGTGGCTCAACCCATTACGCAAAATAAGCATTTGCAGTATAGTTGATTTTGCTCAGGGGCACTCTTGAGGCGCTCTTGGGGGAAAATAGACCTTGACATATGTGAGTTGTAGTTACTGGGATGTATAGTTCACCTACAATCAAAGAGCATTCTGAACTCCACCAATGATGGAATTGAACCAAATATGGCACACAGAACTCCCACGACAAACAGAAAATATATTTCAGTGATTGGTTGGGGGCGGGGGGGTGGGCGCCAAAATACTGTTTGCTTACCATTGAAAATTATGTAGGCCCACCTCTGCGTGTGTGCCTCGCAGGTCCAAAGAACCTATGCCTGTCAGGGCCTGTAGCCAAGGGCTGATAGCCTCTTATTTGGCACTCAGTGCTTGGCTGCAGGCCCTGGCAGGCATTGGTCCTTTGGGCCTGCAAGCCACACACACACACACACATACACATTCCAAGGAGTGTATGTGTGTCTTGCAGCCCCAAAGTGCCTGCACCTGCCAGCCAGGGCCTTCAGCCAAGTGCTGAGGTTCCAGTAAGAGGCCCTTGGCATTCGGCTGCAGCCCTCGCAGGTGCAGTGGCCAGCTCCAGGTCCAAATCCACATCCTTGAGAAGAATGACAATGCCCCCACTTTCGGCCAAAGCAAATACAAACTCCGGGTGAAAGAAGACCTGGCTGTAGGCAGCTCCTTGTGCCAACTTTTTGCCACAGATACCAACAGCGAGGTGCATTACAGCCTCAGCTACCTTGGAAAGAGAGAGTATGTATGGCTTGCAGGCCACCAATGGGACAAAACATTTCAGTTTTTTTGGACCTGGGACGAAAAAGCTCATTTGGAAAAGCGCCCATTTTCGAAACAGGCGCTTGACAATGAAAACAGGGCTTTACAAATTAAACAAACAGAAAGTGATAATGATTCTATACAAATGCACAAGACTAATATGTCAGAAGGGAGGCATGACAACCCTAGATGGGTTTCCATGCTTGGAAGCCTTTCCTTCTGCCTTCACACCTGAGATGAGTATTCAGAAGCATTGCTGCCTAAGTTCCAGATGTAGAGAAGCTGTAAAGGAGGAATGGTGGTAGGACAAGAAATAGTCCATCACTCCAAAGGATTTAAAAGCTTAATCTTGTATATCAAACAAAGCACCAGGATTAAATGCCCAATGAACATGGCATAACTACTAGTAATTCAAATACACCACCACGGATATATTCATGAAATAGCTGAATTAAAAGATATAGCGTGCCACTTGATAAACTGATCTGCTGAACACAAACACTCATAATAGAAGCTCTTGGATGCCACCAACTTCCCCATGAAACCCAAAAAACCAGAAAAGTACTCAGTCACACATCTATCTCCCAATGACATAAAACTACCGTGCCCAACAGAACAAAGAGTGTGAAAGCAAGAAGAAATGCATCTCTATTCTCAGGAAGCAGGACATGGTTCTCATTTACAACATGCACCTCCAAATCATTGGAAGAAGGTAGTTTACATTTTGCTATATCTGCTCTCCTCAAAATGTACATACAAAACAAGATAAGCAATCACACGTCCTCACTTTTGACACAGTCAAACATAGGCCCCTTCCACACAGCTGAATAAAATCCCACATTATCTGCTTTGAACCGGGATATATGGTAGTGTGGACTCAGATATTCCAGTTCAAAGCAGATATTGTGGGTTATTCTGCCTTGATATTCTGGGTTATATGGCTGTGTGGAAGGGCCCATTGAAACACATGAGACCAGTAGGTGCTAAGATGTCTCTCCCCACAATGGAGGGCAAAACTGGAACAGCATCCCTCCAATATGAATTCTGCCGCTCCCATAACATTTTTCTTCATCTTTCAAATTTCTGGCAAAGTAACTTAAAACATCACTTTATCCTTTAGAAATACCCTTTAGGCATCCAAAGAAGAGTGTCAGGCAAAGACACCAAGGGAATACACACATAGCAAATGTAACAGATGGAGATGTGGATTATTTTCAGTGTCTCACTCTCTGCAATGCAAAGAATTTGGGAAACAAAGTTAAATTTCATCTGGGATGGCGGATTCCTTATCTGGGTGGACAATACTCTCATTTTACTGTCAACATGGTGTAAAAAACCCCACCATACACGTCACTTAAGGTCCTACAAATATATATAGCACATACCATAGTTATGAAAATCTCCCATGTCCCAGTAAAGACATTCTTTTGATTTATTTGTTTCCATTTTATATCACACATAGTAGAACCTGAAGTGGGGATGTTGAAATGCTTCAGGTACCAATAATTTAACAGTGTTGGGTTTTGCGTTTGTAGATATCAGAGTGTGGAAATGATTTTACAGAAAACACAGGCTCTTTGTGAATGTAGGCTAAAGCTAAGCTAAAACTGGATAATACACAGAGAGGTTGAGTAAGAATCAATGCCAGCTTCCAAATCACTGGACAACCTTTAGTTAGTTGCTCACCATTGCCACCACTATCTCACCTGGTCTCAAAGGTAAGAGGCAGTGCCAACTCTTATTTTATTTTTCTCTCTCAATATCCTGGAGTGGTACTGTGAGAGGAAATTAAAATGGAAGCAGAAAAGCACAAAGATAAAAGGCTAAAGGAAAGGATCAAGACCTGGCAGCCAAGACCTGGCAGCTAGTCAAGATGGTTGATAAGAGAGCTGACTGGCCATGACCCACAAAGCAATTTAACATCACAAATTGATGGTACAATTTTGAGAAGAAGAAAAGAGAGTTTAGGTAATCAATGGCCAGGTTTTGAAGCTCGGTTCTTTAGAGATCATAGCATAAAATCATTTCAATATTATTTTACAAGCACAAGCTACTCATTGATTCTGGGATCACAAACAATAAATTTTCACAAAGCTGCTGTTCTGACAAAGGGTTCAAGTGAACTGATCAGTTGCTTATGCAAGAACTACCAGCTGTCCTTTCCCCCCCTTCTCTGTGCCACCCAATTATTATTTATTTGCAACTTGCATGAAATCAGTAATGAAGTGCATGACATCACACACTTAACTGGATAACAACCACTTATTTAATTCTGGAAATCAGGCTCATCCAAGTGTCTGGAATGTGTATTAATAATGGGCATAATTAAGCAAATTATTACTCCAGTCTGTCATTAAGCTAAATCTGTTTCCCAGGAAAAGTGTATATGTGTGTGTGTGTGTGTACATATATATATACATATACACATACACACACACACATATATATTGTCAGAAGCGAGTTGTGGTACAGTTATAATGTATTTAAAAACACAAACAAAGTTAAAAAAACTTAGCATTATATTAAATATCCTTTGACCAGAAGCTTGGAGTGCCTCTGGTGTCACTGTAAGAAGGTCCTCCATTGAGCATGTGGCAGGGCTCAGACTGCATTGTAAGAAGTAGTCTGTGGTTTGCTGTTCTCTGCACTTGCATGTTGTGGACTCAACTTTGTAGCCCCATTTCTGAAGTTTGGCTCTGCATCTCATGGTGCCAAAGTGCAGTCTATTCAGCACCTTACAAATTGCCCTGTCTTCTATGTGCCCAAGAGGGAGTCTTTCATCTGGTATCAGCCATGGATTAAGGTTCTCGGTTTTTGCCTGCCACTTTTGGACTCTTGCTTGCTCAAGTGTTTCTAGGAGTATCTCTGTTGATCTGAGAAAGCTATTTCTTGATTTAAGGTGTTGGCTTGCTGGCTCATATTCGAACAGAGGATGGTCCAGAGAGGTCAATGCCTTGGTCCTTTCATTACTGGCTGTTTCTTTCCAACGGATGTCAGATGATTTATGTAATTCCGATTTTAGTTTCTCTAAAGCCAACGTAGTGCAACTCACAGGTATGTTTCAATTCTGAATTCAATTATCCTCCCCAAAGCACTGTCAAGAAAAGGCCTACCAAAGAAAATCTGTTCTGTATCTATTTCTGGTCCCAGAGAGCCAACGTACTTTTTATAAACTTAGTTTGGTCAGAAGCCTGAGGCGTTTTCAGACAAATATAGACTTGATAATTTTTCAGTTTTTAATATTTTAAAATGTTATGTTATGGTATTTTACAATTCTATTCAACTGTAATTGCTCTCAGAATACTTCACAATAATAACATCAGTTTTAACAGCGCATCAACTGCTGTTGTTGCTTCTCTGCTTGCTAAATTCTGGGATTCTTAAAAAGTAACTCTTCCAAACTTTGGAATTCAATTCAGAGTCATTATCCCTGTTGCCAGAGCATCACTTATTCTGCATTTATTAGGATTGTCAGTTTGAAAATGGGAAAGGGCTGCTGTTCTTTTAATACTTGTGTATAAGATGGAGTTTCAGCAGGCATTGTGTTTCATACACTCAAATAAAAAGTATTGCAATCCACTGGTTTGCACAAACATTAAAGGTACAAGTTTTCATCCTGGCAACTTTAGCTGATGTTGAATCATTATATACAGACAGTCCCTATGTTACGAAGAAGATAGGGTCAATAGGTTTGTTCTGAAGTTGAATTTGTATGTAAGTCGGAACAGGGACA